ATAAACGGTACCAGGTCAGTGGCTTGGGAGGAAAAAGGAGAGGAGCGAGGGCTACTGGGCCAGAGAGGAAAAGGAGCCGGGCTCCCTGAGGCGGGCAAGAAATTCAGAGAAGCCAGAAAAATCTGCAAGTGGGGAGTAGCCTTCTGTCAGGCATGGAGAGGACATGGGCAAGAGGAAAAAGGCTTTCATTCTCAAAAGGCCAGGTGAACATGGGTCTCAGACTTGTCTGGGAGAAGGTCAGCCATGAGTTGGGGAGGGAAGGAGGGAGGTGAGTTGGGCCCGATCTATTTAGCCCGAAGGAAGTCACTCCCTAGCGTGGAGCCAAGTCTGATAGCCTCTGAGGCAGGTAAGGAGGTTGACTCAACCACCAGCCTGCCCATAGGCTCTGTCAGAATCTGTCAGCCGGCCCCCCTCACCATCTGGCCCCCAGCGTTGTGTTCTGTACAGGTCTCCCTGCGTGGTGGGCCGCTTGGGAGAGCCAGGCAGCGGTACTAGACAGAAAGGAGGCGAGAGCCCGGTGTGTGGGCGCTGCCGAGGTGCCTGGGTAGCAAAGGCACGTGTAGGACTCAGTAAGGAGCAGCTGGTCCTGCTGGGGAACAGGACGCAAGCGCCCGACAGAATGAACACAGGGCAGGACAGACAGAAGGCCAGATGGATGCTGTGCTCTGGGTAAGAGGAGGGGAAAGATAGCTGGCTGCTGCGGGGAGTCAGAGAAGAGCTATTAGAAGAAAGAGAATCTGATAAATGTGGTGGGGGGGGGAGTGAAGAATAGGGACCGGGGGGGCGGGGAGAGATTTCAGGTTGGTGAAAGCGGTCTGTCTCAGTTTCCTCATCGGTAACATGGGAATAATCATAGTACCCTCCTTCCTAGTTTCGCGTGGATTAAGTTAATCCATGTGAAGCATTTAGAATAGTGTCTGGCATGTGGTAAATGTTAGCTCTTCTTTGTGTCAGAAAGTCAGAGAGGTTGATCGTGGAAAAATCAGGGAGAGGTTCAGATGACTGGTTAACAGCTTGGATTACAAGTTTTTGAGTAGGGGGTCGATACACATGCAGGAAGAAGATATTCTCGGCAGGAGCAATGGGCAGGGTGTTAGGGCACAAGGATGCTGGTTCCAGCTCCTACTCTAAATAGTGTTATCACTTTGAGCAAACCCCCTGACTCCACCGGGGGTCTGCTATCTTTCTGTCATCTCAGGTCCCTTCCAAATTCTACACTGCAAAGTGATGCAGACTTGGAAGAGAAGGCTGTGACTGTTTGGTGACTGCCTGGGTAATGAGGGACCAGATGAAGGGGGACAACACAGAAGCTTCCAGGGTTTGAGCCAGGATGAGTAAATCGAGGAGCAGGTTTGAAGGAAAAAAAAATGACCTTCGTTTGGGCATCCTGAGTTTAAGATGAGAATAACACATCTCAATGGAAATAAACGTCCAAAGGAGATGGTTAGCAGCGTGGGTCTTGATTCTGGGAACCATTTGCAGGGCAATAGTTGGAAACTATAAGAATGGATGACACCAAATCTTCAATGTGAATCGGACTGATCGGCCTCTGAGGTCCTATGGCCCAGAATATGATCCTGATGACTGGGAGAAATGTTGGCGAAAAGACAGGATGGTGAAAGCAAACACTGGAACCATCAGAAATGGAAATTTGTGCCTGTTCCTTAGAGGTGAGGGGATCGGCACCTAGGGAGACTCGAAGGAATTGGTCCTAGAAGGTCCTGATTTCAAAGTCGCTGTCAGTGGAAGGCAGCAGCTTAGGCCCTGGCCCTGGCCCTGGCAGGAAGCTAACTCACTTCCCCTCCAGGTGGCCCTGGCTGCTGCTGTGGGTTTGCTTTCTCTGCTCTTCCCCGTTTTCTCCGTTCAGGAGCTTCTGGCAACTTAAAAAGTCATCCCAGCCATCTTGTGACTACTCAGCTGTCACCCGTTCCTTTGCCTGCCCCCTTAAGTTATAAAATCTGTTGTATTTTAAGTGTGTCAAGTCAAAAATGTTGCCTTTGAAATATAATGGCAGTAGGTTGCATTTCATTTAGTCCTGTAATTAGGAGCCAAGACCTAGAGCCTGACATGAATGTTTAGAGATCTCAAAGAAATCAGTGGGTTCACTGGGGAGGCCTGAGGTGTTGGGCAAGCAGGCTGCAGTGGAGACTAAGATTAGAGGGAATGCAGTGGTGGCGGTGGTATTGATAGGCAGCCACAAATTTCCAAAGAGACTGGAAGAGAATTCCTGAGACCAAAAAAGGCTAAGAGTCCCTGGGGCACTAGGACAAGATCTATTTTATAACCTCTCCAAGACAGATTTCCATGGGTCTAGTGCCAATGGGAAATCTTAGCTATACCGGGCAACTGACTCATTCAGTCAGCCATCACTGACGGAGCAATGAACTCCTGTGCCTGGGGCCAGAGAGATAGGGGCCCCAGCGGTAAGGAGCATTTTATGCCTACCACCCTCGGTCAGACGACTGAAGAGTGGGAGGAAAAAGGGGGGAATAATAACAACCGGGCCTTGGGTCATGCCAACCCAGATGGGAATTCCAGCTTGTGGGGACTCTTGAGCAAAAGTCGACTCCTGCACAAATGCACACATTTTTTTTCCTTCCAACCCTTCCCACGGGTACAATACTTTAGGAGCTAACCTCCCTGGACGCAGGGCCCAGTGCCCCTTTTCCAGGTCTTGTTGCCTTTTCACTCCTGAGCCTAATCCTATGTCTTCTGCTTGAAATTGTCACACTGATCACAGAGATTAAGCTCCACACATTCCCCCCCCCCAGCCCCATGTGCCCCCTAACCCTCTCTCTCCCCCTATTTCCCCCAGGATAAGGCTTCACTTGTCTCACTTCCCACATACTTTTCCACCCAAGCTTTTTGCAGGAGTTGTTAGCTCTTAGCTGAGTTCAGTTTAGTCCTGGAGACCATTTTTAACTTGGATAAAATGTTCCTCCAGGCACTGGGCCAAATGACCCATTCAAGGCTGATAAAGACTCGCTGACCTAGGCACAGGAAGTTCTGGGAGGTGAAGGGCATTTCTGGATGGTTCTAAAACAAATCCTTTTCCGCTTGCCCCTGACCCTAGGACAACCTATTGAGAGTCCACAGTCTGACACAGAGTATGGAACAGAGGAAGGAGGATCAGGGGACAGACTCTAACCATTTGTAGAACCTTGGTCAAATCAATTACCTTCTGGGCCTCAGTTTCCTTCTGCATAAAATGACCTTGAAGGCCCCCTTCAGCTCTGAGAGTCTAGTTTACTTTGCAACTGGGTCAGCTGGTTTCTGGACAGCCTTGGAAAGCTGAAGCACTTCCAAGGCCTTCCCTTATGTCATTTGCAGTCTAGAAAGTCTACTTTCCAGGATCTAGTTGTGTTTCAACAGATCTAAAAGTTTGGTTGCACTTGGATCTGCTTCAAATTTCCAGGAGATGCAAAGCATAATGTGTGTAATCCTTTAAGACCTAGACCCTCATTCTCCCAGAGCAGAGCTGGGAACAGACTGCTCACTGAGGGGACACATGAGGGAGTACATGGCTGGGATTTCACCGTTATGTGGAGGGAACATGGGCTTGGGATTCTAAACAGAAAACTTGTGGGAAATGGTGGGGGCTGCGTGATAAGAGGGGAGGCCGGGGAACTACAGACTGCTAAAGGCTGAGACCAAGCTTAGGAGTCACTGGGCTGGTGCATGGGGGACAAATGGCTGATGGTCCCAGGCCAGGGAAGCCCACTCCGGGCTAGTGCACCCTTAGCTCACCGTGCACACAGGCAGCCAGTCGGTCCCCTTACCCAGCTGTTCCAGCCCCATAGCAGCTCCTGTAGTTTTCTTTGGCTCAGAGAAGCAGAGGCATCCCCTGAGCCCTGGCCCCCCTCTACCGCAGAGCAACTGGCTTCCATTACCCCTGACAGCTCCAGAGAAACAGCCCAGCCCCTGGCCCCAGCCTGGCTCAGTGCCGTTCCCTTTTATGGTGAAGCTGAGGGAAAGCAAGGAGGTGGGGGGGAGTAGGTTTTGGCTGGGCAGAGGGTTGTAGAGCCCCAGGCTGCCTCTCCCCTCACCAGAGACCCTCGGACATCTACCCAGTCATCTTCCTTTTTTCTCCTCAGTGGCCCACTCTGCTTATAACCCACACGACCCCTCTTGCTGGTCCCAGCCTTTCCTCCTTTTCCCCCTCCCTCACATCCGGGAGGGGGTGATTTCCCACTTGGCTTAAGTCCCACGGTTTGGGTTTTGATTCCGGGAGGGTCCGCCCTATTTCCGACGCCCACCTCTGAGAGTGGGATGGAGGGAGGGAGTCCGGAAGGGAGGCACTGGTCAGATCACAGGCAGGATCGTTCTATTTGGCGGATCTGGGGCAGAAAGGCTGGCGCCGAGGACAGTTAGCCGGCCGTCCCTGCCCTGTCCCCATTCTGCACCGCCTCTCACCCCTCTCCCGGCCGCCCGGACCAGGGAGGGGACCTTGAGGGCAGGGCGCAAAGGAAGCACCTGGCCGGGCCGGGAAGCGAAGGGTGGGCAGCAGCATGGTGGCCCGCGACCGAGAGGGGGGCCGGAGTCTAGGGTCAGGCCGCTAACCCTGTCCAGGACCAAGCCAACAGCTAACCCTGTCCAGGACCAAGCCAACCCCAGCTGCGCCGTGCCGCGTACGAAGCGAGCGTCTGCAGCCCGCCCGCCCCCTACGGCGGCCGGCCCCTCCTCAGCCCCGCCCAAGACCCCGCCCCTTGCGAGTGCGCCGCGGTAGCAGGCGAGACGCGGGAGCTAGGGATCCCTTACCGGCCGAGCCTGACGGCCGGAAGTGGCGGGACTGAGCTGGCGCAGCAAACTTCCGGCCCAGGTCTCCTACCTCGAGCTAGTCCACAGATCGTGTCGGCGCCGAGCCCTGCTGATCAGGTGAGAGGCACGCAGGCGCGGTCCACGGCCCATCGGCGGTGGCTGGGCCAGTGGGGCGAGGACGGGTCCTGGTCTGGGCGAGGAGTGCGCCGGTCCGAGGCTCAGTCCCTCCTCTTCTCCGCAGCATGATCACGGACGTGCAGCTCGCCATCTTTGCCAACATGCTGGGCGTGTCGCTCTTCCTGCTTGTCGTTCTCTATCACTACGTGGCCGTCAAC